TATATATATATATACACACACCTTTATTTATTTATTCCGGAATTTTCAGAAAAGTCCACTTTCATCTCTGTTTTTTTTAATCCATCAGATTGAAATCATTCCGAATGAAGATCTCTGGTTACGTGTTCACATGTGATGTGATCTTTTCTGTTCCGCCGTTGACGTGCTCCACTCCGTTAACCAGAGCAGCCATGGTACAGCTGTGCAACACGCCAAGAATATACCACTCCTGTTCATCTGAATAAAATTCCATTCGGATTCAAGCGTTTTATTCCGATTGAGGTGTTTATATTGAGCATTTTTATTCCGTTTAGTCATTCGGATACATTCTAAAACAAAACACATGGCTCCATATAACCCGGCTATAGAGACTGACAATCAGCCCTGTGATTGACTCATGACAAGTCCCAGGTGTAGCCCGTCTTTCTCCCGTCGTCTGCTGGGATAGGCTCCAGCGTCCATGAGCCTGAATAAAATTATCTAATATAAATGATACAAAACAGCCAAAGATTTCATTTTAAGATCACAGTATTTTAACTCTCTTCAAGTGTCCTTTCTGGTGTCTGAAGGATTTGACAGAGGATGATGTCTGCTGCATCATGGCCCGATCTGTTTGTGCAAAGTAAGAATTTTTATGCTGGCATCAATATTTGTCTGCACAAATTGCACTGATTCCAATGCTTTCATGTATTGCCACTTATGAGGTCTATTTTTATGGGGTGTCATGCACACTGATATTTGAAATTGTTACTAAATAGATCTGCGTTTGAACTGTGGGGCCACGGACGAACCCACAGTGAGCTCAGAACATCCTTGCGGAATTACCCAGCAGAACAGATGGTTAGTGCGACTAAGTTTTTTTTCTGTAATGTGAAACACACTTTACAGTTCGACTAAAACATCAATTTTCTGCTTTACCTTTGCAGTTGCCGTTTTTGCATAAAGACTCAACATACAGAATAAATGTTTACACCTTCAACAAAACCCTGGATTTCACAGAGAGAATTAAACGAATTGATGTAAGTGTTTGAAATCAGGAAGTACTTTTAATGAAATAATTTGCATTTCAATCAACTTGTGCATCGATTCACCCAAGCAACCCCACGCTTTGTTCTGCAATAACACCAGTGCAATCTAATATAGTCTAATACAGTGGTTCTTAACCTGGATTCGATCGAACCCTAGGGCTTCGGTGAGTCGGTCTCATGGGTTCGACGGAGCCTCTGCCATGGAGGTTAAGACACACTCGACTCAATATGGCAATTAGATGTGACACGCCCGCTTGGCCATCCCTGGCTGGTTCATTTTGTGCACAATTAAAAAAACGTCTCCTTTTGACTTGAAATGTTATTAGGTTTTTTCTATTTTTAATAAATGTGCTTTTTTATGTCTTGAATTAGTAAAAAAAAATATATATATACACTATATATTTTTTCACAAATGAAGCGTTTGGTGAATGTGCATATGAGCTGGTTGGGTTCGGTACCTCTAACAAGGTTAAGAACCACTGGTCTAATACAAAATCTAACAAAAAAAAAGAAAAATCCTGCATATAAAGGGCTCAACGTTAACAGTGCCGGCAGTGGTCGGGCCCCTGAAGTTCACTAATTGAGGGCCGACTGGGCTCCCAGTACAAATTTCTCGGGCCTGGCCAAATAATTGGCCCATTGTTTGTACTTTCATGTATTTTAACCATTTACAGCCTTTGAAGGATTCAAGTATTTTCCTAATTTGTTAAACAACAAAATATAAGTATAGTTCTCATTATTAAATATGACATGTATTAGTTGATTAGGTATTCAAAGTGACATGTCATTCAAGCCGACTTACAGCATTGCAACTATTGTGAAGGAATTGACCCCGATGTCACTATTTTATGAAGAACTTAGAGTCTTGGTTTGGTAAAAATAAACAAACAAACAAAAAATAAGAAAACCAAAAATAACAGTGCAACATAAATGTGACAGTTAAATATCACACATTCAACTAGTGATAATGCAAACACACATTTGACCAGGATTAACATCCTTATAACGTCATGAAGTAAATGCATTGTACCATGCAATGCATTCTGGGAGTCATAGATATGCAAAAGACATTGATGTGACACATCCGTAAGGAGACCTGAAAGCGTTTCTATGAGTCCCATTTTCGTGGATATCACAAACCAAAAATCAAGGATGCATGTTTCAATAGCACACATTTTGGTGTTGACAAAAAAAAAGGAAGTGAAGTAAAGATCTGATGAGAAAATGACCAAGTTCGGATTTATTTAAATTTACCGTTAATAACTTCTAAGCTTCTAACCCACCTGTTCAAACGGGCTTTTTTAAAATTCTATATTGCCTCCTTTGTTGTTGTCTGATATACCCAGATAATACTCAGACAGACCGTCAGTTTTAATCAGGTGATGTGGCATTCAAGGAAATTACAACAGTTATTTTTTTTTTGTTTAAGATATTTTTTTAAATTTGATTTTATTAGAAGTGTGGGTGTACTTCAAGTTAAAGTAACTGTATTGTTTCTACAGGCAATGGATTACCTTCCATTTGAGGGTCTTGTAAGTCTCAAGAGCCCTCAGCACGTTTTCTGCTTGCTGGAAGATTACGGCACTGACCCAAACAACATCCCTGAGCATCCATATTACATTTATTTTGGCCGATGGGTGAGAAACTGGACAGATTGCACTGCAAATTACATCTATCTTTGAACAGGAACCCAGAGCAGTAATAGTGATGTAAAGAAGAGCTTAAAAATTGTGCTGATGATACACATTTTTAACAATGAAAAGAGCATCTTTGTCATTCCTATGACAAATGTGGATCTGTGTTTATGATTTCCCAGAAAGTGGTTATTTCCGTGATGTTACTTTGCAAATACCAGGAACATGTTAGTTTGGTTTATTTTTCTTTCGTACAATTATATAATTTATCAAAACATGGTCACCACGGGGCGGCACGAATATTGATTGGTTAGCACATCCGCCTCACAATGCAGCGTTCCAGGGTTCGATTCCGGCTCCGGCCCTCCTGTGTGGAGTTTGCATGTTGTCCCCGTGTACTCCAGGTTTCCTCCCACATTTCAAAAATAGGCATGGGAGGTTAAGAATACATGACCCTAAACGTTATCATGTGGAGTTTAGGAGCTAAAATGATTGTCACCAGTAAAGTCCCGCAAACAAATTGAATAGTAGCTTTCGAATGTGCAAAAATGCTATTCATCTTTTCGCCATGCTACTAATGATTAACCTCCACACAGATAGCGGATGGTCAGCGTGAATTGATTCGTTCTCACAGTGTGAAGAACAGACACTTCATCGGAAACACCAGTATGGATGCAGGCCTCTCCTTCATAATGGCCAACCATGCCAAGGTCAAAGAACATGATCTTGTCTTTGACCCGTTTGTTGGCACTGGTGAGTTAGTTTGCTTCTGTATTTCTCTCATGCACATGCAGACTAGTACCTTGATGAATATTATTATTAATTAATGTAACAATCAGTCGATCAATCAGTTTATTTGAAGTGCAATATCACCATGTGACTGTAACTATTTGTTCTAGTCAGGATTCTCGCGGCTGAATTTTGAACGAGCTGAAGACATCTCGTGGCGTAGTTAGGGAGGCTCGAAAAAAGAACATTCCTCGAATCCAGTCTGAAGACACAAGAGAATGCAGAACATCTTGGCATTTCACAACAATAAAACAGGGCGGATTTTAACTACACTACGCAGATGAGAAAGTGATGTCTTAGTGAGTTCTCCGATACGAGAGTTGGATCAAAAGTAACTCCCAGCTATTTTATATGAGTGCTTGCAGAAATCCTTCATCCATCAATATTAAAAGATAAGTCCTCATACAGGTGTTTGTAGTTTGAAGGCCTAATCACTACCAAGTCTGTTTTTTCTGTTAACATCAGAAAATTCCGACGCATCCAACTTGTAATGTAACCGTCTCTAGATTCCAGGTTCTGGAGGTGTTATTTGGCATGTTAAACTGCATATTGTCAGCATAACAATGGTAATTAAAACCATGTTCAGAAATAATCTTAACCAAAGGGAGTATGTGAATACAAAGCAACGGGGGGGGGCAAAGACAGATCCCTGTGGCACACGTGAGATGACTGCAGAATATTTCGACAAACAATTGTTAAAACCAACACGCTGGGTTCTGTTAGATAAATAACACGAGAACTGGGAGAGTGCCTGCCCGTGTACCCCAACACAGTGTTCTAACTGATCAAAAGCGGTACCTAAATCAAGAAGTTGGACCAGAGATACTGACCTAGAGTCTGCAATGATCAGCAAGTCATTGACAAATCTGGTCAGGGCAGTTTCAGTAGAATGACAGGAGCGGAAGCCGGATTGAGCATTATCAAAGAGATTGCTGGTGCACAGATCGGCAGTCAACAGTAACATTCTCATTTGGAAAAATGCAAAGCCATTCAAATATTTTGATGACAGCTTTTTGAATGAAATGGTGCTCTTTTCGTTTGTCAAAGGAAGCCTATTGGTTGCTTGTTCTCATTTTGGAGCCTACGTGTGTGGATCAGATATTGATTACAACACCATCCATGGCAAAGGTATATTTTTTTTTCTGCCATAATCATAGTTTTAGTCATTCTGTATGTTAATTAAAATGTGGAAATGTTCTAATTGGTCAAAAGTAGCAATAAGACACAAGGTCTGAATTTGGGGGATCATTCAACTGTATCACCAAAAGTTAGTTTCTTTTTTTTTTTCCCCCAGGAAGGTCCAGCCGCAAAGATCAAAAGTGGAGAGGACCAGATGAGAACATCCGAGCCAACCTGCGACAGTATGGAACAGAGAAACTGTATGTGGATGTGATGGTTTCTGATGCATCCAAGCCTGTGTGGAGGGAGACCGCTCTCTTTGATGCCATCATTACCGATCGTATGTTCGTTTGTCATCATGGCATCTATGTAATTTTTCATAAATTGTCATTTGCTCCTACACATTCAACGTTCGTAAGCATCCATACTTATTTTACACTAGTTGAAACTGGTAGAAATCGATGAGTTTAACTCTGTTGCGAATCTATTTTGTAATTTTATATCACTACTGTTTCTAAAAATCTTGGTGTTACTTATTTGTTTGTCTCTTGTGGTCAGCTCCATATGGCATACGCGAGTCCACAAGGAGAACAGGCTCCCACAAAGAAACTACAAAATGTGTGGTTGGCGTGTAAGTTCATTTGATTGTCTACCACCAAATAGGTAAAGGGAAAGCATTACAGGAAAATGCTCAATATTTTGTTCATCCTAGCTATGCCGAGTCTCACGTGGCTGTATCCCAGTCCTACCACCTGAGTGAAATATTGGCCGACATGCTGAACTTCTCAGCACATCGCCTCGTCATGGGAGGGAGGCTGGTCTACTGGTTGCCTGTTTATAGACCAGAGTGAGTAAACATATGTATGCCATGATTGGATAATACGATGGAGCACTTCACTATTCAGTGATGTTAACCATTTTGTCAAATGGAGCACCATTGTTAAATTGCCACAGTATTGGACCAGGAACATCTCAGAGACTGAGAGTAATCTTCAACTCCACAGGCGGTCATAAATGTTAAATGAAATGCACTCCTGGTTCTTGCATTTCACTCAGTCAACTTTCCCTGTGATTTACTCCGCTCTGCTGTCATTCACTGCATCTCTTCTTTTTGTCCTTTTGGAGTAATGCTTTTAGGTACCAAGAGAGGGCGTCTTTGCACCCCAAAAACCCCCAGCATCAAACACTATTACAGTCATGCACTGCTTTTCAATATGGTAAAGACTACAGAGACCACCTGAGACACGTTTTGGGAAATTCTGCTCTGTTTCAGCAGTTTGAACATCTGTCTCAGATTGTGCTGTTGACCAGAACCACAAAGCATTTTTCAACACATTTTCTATTCCCACTCATAGGAAACATTGCCCCTTTAAGTACACACTCACCTGTCTAATGACAGTATTTGCAGTGAGCAGGAGACAGGTGTGTCCCTTTAGGTCCCAGTAAACCACAAATGACAATAGTAAGCTCAGTTCCCTTTTCCCCTTGACAACATTAGGATGCTCTGCATCACATGAAACAAAGGGGCTATTGTTGAAAGTTTTGTGCAGGCATAGTGCTGAGTGCATATGCAGCTGTTAACTGGTAAAGGTAAAAACAGCAGCATCCATGACGGCCATTTGTAAAAGAACACCCAGCAGGGAGATGGGGATGAGTTTATTCTATATCTTTTGGGTGTTCCTGCAAGTTTGTCAGCAAATCCACAAATGTAAGTAAACTGTGAAGCGTACTTTTGTTCCCGCTTTTGCATTTGTGGTTGCATTCACTCACAGTTTGCGTGGATGTGTGTGGCCTCTTCGAAAAACACGTGCTTCCACATGTGTCATATGTGTGTTCACATTTGTCTTTCCTACTCATCTACTTGTGCTTGACTCCGTGTCTGTCAGAGCACTGCCAAAATAAACGACTGAAGCCAGGGACGTCGGATGTATGTCAACTGTCTGTCTGTATTGTGTGCAGGCTAACCGCTGTGTGCTTTCATATGTGTCGAAGCCCAAATGTGGTCTGTCTCTTGGGACTAATCTGAAGCCCTACATGGCAGCTATCAGGTTTCTGTTACCCCACCCCCACCCTATTTGTATACATATCTGCAGCGGTGACTGGATGATTGGAACAATGGTGATCATATGTGTCTGCCTGCGTGCCTGCCTTCTCTATGCTCTTGCACATGCTCATTCGTATGCACATTCTGGTGTCAGTGCATGTTTATGAGATTAACAGGTGTCGCAAAATCACGTCATTTCATTCTCGCAGTGTCAAGGAAGAGAAATGATCAATTGAGATTGTTATATTGATTTAAGTAATGACTAATGGAAGTGGAGTATTTACCTTAAAGCAACACATGCCTCCAAATTCATTTTCCTTCATTCTATTCGGCAGTGTGTATGAACTTTAAAAATGCGAAAGTCAATGGCATCTGAATGGCTGAAAAAAGGGTGAAGCCGATTAAGCATCAATTTAATGACATATCCTGTATGCTGCCATATTGGACATTTTTGACTAGTTCACTGTGACGTCTTCTTAATATGATAATTATCATGATATTGTGGGAGGTTTTTGATATTACAAAAAAGCTCACAGTACTGTTTAAAAACTCACGATAATGTAAAAAAAAAAAAAAGCTCATGATATTAAAAAAAAAAGCACAACATTGCGTTTTTGTACATAGTAACAGCAGTCACAAAAAAATAAATAGGCTTGGCCAGTCATTTTATTGACATTTGTTCAAATTGGCTCCACAGCGCAAGGTATCATGGTTTATACAGTTAACAATGCTGTGTTCAGCTGAAGCGAGTGAAAAGTAATGTTTTTTGACTGAGATGTGCTGCTTTTCATGTCATAACATGACAACGACAATATCATGGCAAGACCAGTTTCATGTGACGTATGCATCCATTAATTCTGGCTGCGCGCGCATCTTCTGCCTCCAAGATGCGCGCGCAGCCAGAATATTGACTGATCTCTTGTCTCGTGCTGTGGGTTGTCAGAATGGAAAGAGCACACACAGAGATAAAGTCTTTTATAGAATTCCTGCTTGGTAAACACCCCTTTCAGAAAAAAATGGCGAAAGTTATAGTTACAAGCTTGACGACGTGAGAATGCAACGCGCCCAGTGCGGCAACGCAAGCGATCCCGGAGAAGCCGGCGGGTGCCCCAGGGAGAGTTCTGTTTTCTCGGTGAAGGGCTGGGCGTCTCTCCGTCGGGTCGCCTCGGCCGGCGCCTAGCAGCTGGCTTAGAACTGGTGCGGACCAGGGCAATCCGACTGTTTAATTAAAACAAAGCATCGCGAAGGTGTGGGGGGTGATGACGCGATGTGATTTCTGCCCAGTGCTCTGAATGTCAAAGTGAAGAAATTCAACATGAGAGACAATTAAGAATGCTTGTCTTTGCAAACAACAGTGACATCATTAAGATGCGAGCAGTCAGTGTTTGCAAACATTGAAACTGGTCTATTGGGCCCTTGTCGTTATAGCCCTAGTATTGTGCGATAAAACTGCCCTATGGCGTCGTCAAGTACTGCCTTAATTTAGATGGCATTCTGAACCATCAAATGTTTCATCTTCTTCCTTCGAGGAAAAAAAACATTTATTGCAGGAGTGACTGGCTAACACAGCCAACCCGTGTATTGCACAAGAGTATGCAACTGGTCCATTACATGGCATAATGTACAAAAACTGATAGATCGTCAACAAAATATATGTGAACGTGTAGATATGTGATCATCCATCCATCCATCCATTTTCTCATCCGCTTATCCTTACGAGGCTCCCGGCGGGCTGGAGCCTATCCCAGCTGTCTTTGGGCAGTCGGCGGGGTACACCCGGGACTGGTTGCCAGCCAATCGTAATGCAGCACATAGGTACACAATCATTCACGCTCACAATCACACCTAGGCACAATTTAGAGTCTTCCATTAACCTACCATGCATGTTTTTGGAACGTGGGAGGAAACCGGAGTACCCGGAGAAAACCCACTGAGGCATGGGAAGAGCATGCAAACTCAACACAGGAAACCCGGAATCCAACCCCGCACCTCTGCACTGTGAAGCGGACATGCTCACCAGTCGACCACCGTGGCACCCAATGTGATAATCATAGTCTGAAAATATTAGAATGAAACTGGCAATATTTGTTATTGAATTCACGTTGTGTATTAACATCCCAAGCGTGCGTTAATATAATCAAAAATACTGCGCGCTTCATACTAATATTTGCAGACTATGATTTTAATGTGCGAAACCCCCCACAGGCACAGGGAGAAAAATGCAAACTCCACACAGGAAGGCCGCAGGCAGAATCGAATCTTGCACCTCTGCACTGTGAGGCTGACGTGCATGGGTTTTATCCACATGCTCCAGTTTCCTCCCACATTCCAAAAGCACTCCAAATTGTCCTTCGGTGTGATTGTGCGTGCAAATGGTTGTTCATCTATGTGTACCCTGCGATTGGCTGGCAACCAATTCAGGGTGTCCCCCGCCTACTGCCCGAAGACAGCTGGGATGGGCTCCAACCCTTGTGAGGATAACGGATTAGAAATTGGATGGGTGGATGGATGGATTTTAATATGTGCACATAAATTTTGGTGATAATCTGTCACATTTTTTGTACATTAAGTGATATCATGTTTTTTTTATTCTCTACAAGGTAACTCAGAGGCAACCTTCAAGACTGTACTGTAGTTGGCTGCGTTAGCTAGTCATTCCTGCCATACATTTCTTTTCCTTTCTCAAGGGAAGAAGATGAAACCTGAGATAGTTCGGAGTGGCACCTAAATTATGGTAATACACATTTTTTAGGACAATGGATCAGGAAACAAGTCCAAAATGAACAGTTGTGTGTTACAGCAAGGAAGTCGTCACCATGATTACATGGAGTACCGCACTATAAGGTGCTTCAGATTATGAGGCACACCTTCAATGAATCGCCTATTTTAAAATTGGTTTCATAAATAGGGCGCACTGCATTATAAGGCGCACGGAAGCTACAATAATGGCTGCGGTTGTGCTATGCATCCACTAGATGGCACTACACTACAGGAATACAATTCAATACAATAACATACAATACAGCTTTATACACAGCCTTCACAACCGCTGCAGCTGTAACAAAGCCATTAGAACTGGTCACAAACACGGACATGAAACATAGATATAATGGCATTACAAAACAATAAAAGACAAAAGTTGTGAAGACAATTGATTCAACAAAAAGGCTAACATCCACAAGTGGCTACATATCTCTCAAATCCACATTCATCCCAACCCAAATTGATTCACAAAAAAATAAACATTGCCATGAAAGAAATCGGTCTAATAGATATCTGGAGAGAATTAAATCCTCCAATCCCCATTTGGCATACTCAAGGATTGACTATTTATTTTTACTCTCACTAAAGATCTAAATCGGGTTGGTGGCTACAGCATGGGGAACATGGACCTTTCAGACCATAGCCCTATTTATCTAGAACTAAATCTGGAACAGCATCGGAGAAACACTATGTGGCGATTAAATACTTCTGTTCTGAATCAGATGAAGGAACAAATTGGAAAAGATATTGCAGAATACTTGGAACAGAACGACAATGGTGAAGTTTCCCCTCCAATATTATGGGACGCATG